AGAGAGTGGGGAAGAGCTCAGCTACAGACGTGAGTCACGACGTCTGTGGTTTTGTCCGACCGCAGATCAGCAACCGGTTTCCTTCCTCCTTCTGATTACTGGGGATTACCGCCCACCTTCCTCCCCCTCCCCTCCTGCCCCGCTTCTCTACCTCCTCCTCCTTCCTGAGTTTTTTTTTTTTTTCCCTCCGTTTGAAAACGTACTCCCAGATTTACGTTGTTTTTTTTTTCACCGCCCGTTCGCTAATTTCTTTCTTTCTTTCTCTCTTTCTTTCTTTCTTTCTTTTTTTCCGACACTCGCAGAACCTCCAGTGGGCTCGCGACGTGTTGCTAGGAAGCAGTATCCCATGGCAACAGCTCAAGCACATGCCGGCGCAAGGACTTTTCTGCGAACGCAACAAGACCAACCTGTTTAACGTGAGTACGAGGCACGGCGCACTTCGGAAAACACGCGATGTTGGGAACTGTCGGAAAAATTTTTTTTTTTTTTTTTGTTTTTTTTTTTTGCATGCAATACCATCTGTCACCACTAGGTTCATTAGGAGTTGTACCAGCCATTGAGGAATTACGAACAGGATTGCGTAATATCGGTGAGAATTGTTATCGGGATTTTTTTTTTTTTTTTGTTTTTTTTTTTTTCATGCAAAACCCTCTGTCCCCAACAGGTTCTTTTGGGGTTGTCCCAGCCATTGAGGAATTACGAACAGGATTGCGTAATATCGGGGAGAATTGTTATCGGGATTTTTTTTTTTTTTTTGTCTCATATTTTACATATATTTTTTTTTTCTTGTAATACCATCTGTCACCACTAGGTTCATGTCTATAAATACTAATGAACCTAGTGGTGACAAGTGGTATTAAAAATTTTTTTTTTTTTTTTTTTACTCATATTTTACATATATTTTTTTTTTCTTGTAATACCATCTGTCACCACTAGGTTCATTTTTACACCTAGTGGTGACTAGTGGTATTAAAAATTTTTTTTTATTTTTTTTTATTTTTTACCCATATGTTACATATATTTTTTTTTCTTGTAATACCGTCTGTCACCACTAGGTTAATTTGTATAAATCCTAATGAACCTAGTGGTGACAGGTGGTATTAAAAAAATTTTTTTTTTTTTTAAAAAAAAAAAAAATTTTTAAGTAAAAGTGAATTTTTTTCATTGTGTATCGGTTAAAATCGAATTAAGAATTTTTTTTTTTTCGGACGATATCGCCATGTCAGGACTCGGGAAAAATTTTGTTTTTTTTAAAACCTGGAAAAAAAAAAATTTTTTTTTTTCCAGGTTTTAAAAAAAACAAAATTTTTCCCGAGTCCTGACATGGCGATATCGTCCGAAAAAAAAAAAAATTTTTAATACCACTAGTCACCACTAGGTGTAAAAATGAACCTAGGGGGGACAGATGGTATTACAAGAAAAAAAAAAAAAAAAAAAAAATTTTTTTTTTTTTTTTTCCGATCACGAAATGCCCGCGCGCGGTTTGGCCCAGATGATGTCATCCGAAAAAAAATTTTTTTAAAGTAAAAGTGAATTTTTTTCATTGTGTATCGGTTAAAATCGAATTAAGAATTTTTTTTTTTTTCGGACGATATCGCCATGTCAGACATCGGAAAAATTTTTGTTTTCTTAAAATCTGGAAAAAAAAAAATTTTTTTTTTTTTAAAAATTACAATAAAATTAACATCCGATTTACGAACATTTATATACGACTATCATATCGCGATATATCGTTATACGTAGCGGCAATGCACGCCCCTAGTGGACACTCTAGGTAAATCTCAGTTTGTCACGTTTTTAATGATACACCTACGTTTCTCTGGGTGTCCCCATGTCACCACTAGGATTCCCGAGCAGAATTACATAATATCGATGAGAATTATTTTTTTTTTTTTCCGATCACGAAAAACCCGCGTGGTTTGACCCTTGTATCGTTATACATACACCAACGCACGCCCCTAGTGGACACTCTAGGTAAAGCGTCTCCATTTCGGATTTTTTTTTTTTTTTTTTTTCTCTAATATAATTTTCGGAGACAAAATAAACGTCAGAGGTCGGAAGTAAAAAAAAAAATCCGAAAAAAAATTCGAAGCATATTTCTGTTGTTACCGAAGTAGTCTGTAGGGTGGATGCTAACAGATTGTCGGTGCGGGGGGTGCTACATGCATACATACATATACACATATATACACATATGTATATATATACATATGCAGTACATGCATATATTTGCACATATACATGCATATACGCTGTCACACCAACTGTCGGAGCTTTACAGTTCTCTCTCCGCCGTCGCTTCAAATACATCGGAAATATTTTTTTTTTTTTTTTTTTTTTTTTTTCTTTGTATATATTTACCATCGGGAGATTCTTGGTCACAAAATATGAACGAACTCATTAGAAAGGATAATATTGTGTATTATGTTATATGTTGATATATGTATGTATATATGTATATATATATATATATATATATTTGTATATATTTATATATGTATGTATTGAGAGAAACAAAGTGATGTACTGTATATACATATATATCTACATGCATACATACATATACACATATATACACATATGTATATATATACATATGCAGTACATGCATATATTTGCACATATACATGCATATACGTATACATACATACATATACATATACATTCATATATACATATATATATACACACGTACATGTGTATATATATACAAATACAGACATACATATATGCATATACACATATATACATGCATATACACATACTTATATATATATATACAGATACATATATGTACATACACATACATACTCACATGTATACTTATACAGTACATGCACATATACATGCATATATACATATATATGCATATATATACACATATACATGCATATATATAAACATATACATACATACATATATACATATATACATATACACATATACATATATATGTAGATATGCTTACATACATTTATACGTACATACATACATACATATTTACATATATACATATACAGTACATGCATATATATGCACATATACATGCATATATATACACATATACACGCATATATATAAACATATACATACATACATACATATATACATATCTACATATACACATATACATATATATGTAGATATGCTTACATACATTTATACGTACATACATACATACATATTTACATATATACATATACAGTACATGCATATATATGCACATATACATGCATATATATACACATATACACGCATATATATAAACATATACATACATACATACATATATACATATCTACATATACACATATACATATATATGTAGATATGCTTACATACATTTATACGTACATACATACATACATATTTACATATATACATATACAGTACATGCATATATATGCACATATACATGCATATATATACACATATACATATATACATATACATGCATATATATGCATATATACACATATAATGCATATATATACATACATACACATATATGCACATATATACATATATGTATATACAGATACATATACACATATACATACATATACACATATACATACATATATACATACATATTAAAAAAAATGTCAAAATGAATTTCCTTATCCCCCTAAACTACAATATATATATATTTATATATTTTGGTTTTTTTTTTTAAAAAAAACCCAAAAGTACTCCTTTAGTTTCAGTCAGTGAGTAAACGTTGACTCCCGTCGTCACGTTAACGTTAACGTTAACGTCACGTCCTCGCAGACTACCTTACTGTCCTACTATAGTATATATATTACTGTATATATATATGTATATGTATATATATATATATACTGTAATGTCTACCTCAGAGAGAGAGAGAGAGAGAGAGAGAGACCCAGCAGCTGAGTGTGCAGTCCCACTGGTGAACACCGTGTGTCCCCCTCTCTCTCATCTGGGTCACGGTGTTCCACTGCTTTGTCCCCATTTGGGTTTGCGTTACGTAACGTAACGTACGCAGTAGTAGTTGATGAAGTCGTGATCGTGCAACGCAGCAGTAGTTGATGTAAGTACTGACGCTAGTTTTTCACGTTTGCGAAAACCATACGTACGTACTTTAAAAACCGAGACGTTCGACCCTCGTCGTTACTTCCTCCGTTGTCCACTGCGGTCGCGTTCCTGTCACCGTTACGGGTCGATCGTCGTAGTTGCATCGTGACGCGTATCGTACGTTTTGCAGCGCACTGCGATACTGCAGGTACGACAA